TCGGACTAAAATGATTACCGAATTTTCTGCTATGTTTTGTTGAAAGCAGTTTTTCAACACTTTTCTTTTCATCAGAAAACCCACCCAGCTCAAACCACTCTTTTATTTTCCTGAATAAACAAATGTATGTCCTTTTTGAGTCACAAAATGGCCTTGAACCGCACGTCTATGTTCAGAAATTCCTAGTATATCTATTTCATTTCTTTTTAGTTCTCTGCCAACGATGCTAAGTTTTTCCCTGATACATGCTCCCAAACTTCAATTTTCCTCACCTTAAAGTTTTCTTTAGAGCGGTGACAGAGTTTTCTGTTGTAGTACAGTCAGTTTAAGGCCGTCATCACAACTATCCTTATTTGCTCTGCCATCGTTCTCTTCCCCAGTTCGCGTTTGTGATCTGCCTGACCTGGGGGCCTCACCATCAGATCTTTGAGTTTTAATTTTAGCTTCCATGATTACTTTCTTGGGATAGTAATGTGGTAGTTTACCGTCAGTTTTCAACCAATCTGAATTACTTACTTACTCAGCAGATCCGTTCGTCAATTGTGGAACACTGGATGAATTACCATTCTGAAACAAATGTTCAAAAACCCACGAATTAAAGACACTGGAATCTGAAGTTGAAAATGCCTTAATCAAAATAGAAAGAACAAAGCATCGGGAAAAGGTGGTATTACAGTAGAGATACTCCTGACATGTAAGACAACAGCAACATCTTGGTTAAGCGGAATCTTTAACACAGCTTGGAATGCACTGACACTTCCATGTGACCGACAGAGGGTAATCATTGTCCACATTTAGAAAAATATAGGGGACAAAAGAGACACAGAGGGGTATCTCAAACCTGAGCCATACTGGAAAGATGTTTGCAAGAATACTGGAACCTAGAGCTCGACCAGTAGTAAAGTCCTATTAAGAATTAGGAAGGGAGAGAGCTGTACAGATGCAATATTTTCTTTAAGGTAGATATGTGAGCAGTCTATTGAATATGATAGAAGTCAACAACTTATATTTATAGATTAGGAGAAGGCATTCATTAGAGTCAACATATACAAACTATGGACCATTCTAGAAGCTTATGGTATTGAAGATCAACTTTTGGGTAACATCATGGCACTTTATCAAGAGGGTCGGGGCAGGGTAAGAACAACAGAAGGAATGACAGACTAATTCCCCTTCACTTCATGTGTTAGGGACGTGTCCTCTGACTATTGCTATTGATTACCTAATGGATAGAATAACACAGGAGGCAAATACAGACACTAAAGAAATCAATGGACTTCTTTTTGCAGACGATTAATGTCTAATAGATCCCCCAAAAACACAATTTACATCGCCATACTGACTCATTAAATCAAGCCTGCAGAAAGTATGCCATGAGAATAAACACCAGGAATACTGAGTTAATGAGGATAGGCAGGAAACATAATACCATGAATGTTCATGTTAGTGATACTACAATCAAACAAATACCAGAATTCAAATATCTAGAAAGCATATTTACGGAGGTTGGCAGACTCGATAGAGAGATAGAAGTTAAATACAGAAGGCGAATGCTGTCACCAGTTAGCATAACTGCTTAGACACCTAAATGTCTCCCTTCCAGGAAAACAGCAAAGGATTAATAGCATCTGCATGTTATCGCGCGAAATATAGACAATTAACAAGGTTCTAGATCAGAAAAGAAATACATACGAGAATGGCAGGAGGAAGACCAAAAAATATGTGGATAAATCGTGTAGCTAAAACCTGCAAAAAAAGACGAACAAATCCCTCACTTGAACAACCCGAGAAGCGCAAGACTAATGCCGAAAACCACGACACTGGGCTACAACCTAGTAACAGTGAGACAACACCATTATTACGGGTTATTTTTATAGCGAAGTGCGTTTGCAAGCTGGAAGTGACAGGTTCGATTCCCGGTACGGTAACTATAGCTCCAATTCTTATGTTGTTTAGTGTTACCTTCATTTTTACTTCTTTCTCTTAGTGTCGATAAACAAAGCGTCTAATTTAAAAAAAAAAAAAAAAAAAGTATGTGTCATGGTTCTACGGCCACAGTGGACTCCTCTTGCCCCCTCCCCACACCTCTCTTTATGAGTCCTACAATTACAGCATTAGATTTGAGAACTATTGCTGTCAACACATATATTTGAAGTGTTTCTTCTCAGACAATCAGCTCTTGGCGTAATTGCATTTCACATGTATCCCTCTTCCATTCCTGATTTGTCTCCTCCCACCATGCACCACTGTCGGTGGCGTCCTGTTCCCACTAATCCCTTCAAAGACGCATACCCACCAGAAGTAGCAGCACGGCAGTGGTAATCCTACTTTCCGGCATGCCGACTGTGAATTTGAATGTTTGTGGGTAAAGATGATTTTGTATTGTTTTTCTTAAAGAATACACTTATTTAATATTTAGCTGGGTTATAAAAGTAGATGAGTGGCCTTGCCAGATGCCTGGCTGTTTTCCGAGGGTAGTTGCGTGAACTTACTATATGTCTCTATGCATTCTGAGAGGTTGGTGATGTACACATACTAGATATAGAGAAGTTGAGGGCACCTATCAGATACGTTATTGTATTCTGTGTGATGGCATTTACCAGATATCTCTCTGCACTGTGAGAGTAGTTGTGTGTACTTACCAAATTATCTAGCTGCAGTTTAAGATTAGTTAAGTGTACTTACCAGATATTGACTAGATGAGGACACTTATGTGATATCTAACTGTAATCTGAGAGTAGTTGAGTCCACTTATGTCCTATCTAACTGTTTTCTAAGAGAAGTTATGTGCACTTATGTCCTATCTAACTGTTTTCTAAGAGAAGTTATGTGCACTTATGTCCTATCTAACTGTTTTCTAAGAGAAGTTATGTGCACTTATGTCCTATCTAACTGTTTTCTAAGAGAAGTTACGTGCACTTATGTCCTATATAACTGTTTTCTAAGAGAAGTTAAGTCCACTTATGTCCTATCTAACTGTTTTCTAAGAGAAGTTATGTGCACTTATGTCCTATCTAACTGTTTTCTAAGAGAAGCTATGTGCACTTATGTCCTATCTAACTGTTTTCTAAGAGAAGTTACGTGCACTTATGTCCTATATAACTGTTTTCTAAGAGAAGTTAAGTCCACTTATGTCCTATCTAACTGTTTTCTAAGAGAAGTTATGTGCACTTATGTCCTATCTAACTGTTTTCTAAGAGAAGTTACGTGCACTTATGTCCTATATAACTGTTTTCTAAGAGAAGTTAAGTCCACTTATGTCCTATCTAACTGTTTTCTAAGAGAAGTTATGTGCACATATGTCCTATCTAACTGTTTTCTAAGAGAAGTTATGTGCACTTATGTCCTATCTAACTGTTATCTAAGAGAAGTTGAGTCTACTTATGTCCTATCTAACTGTTTTCTAAGAGAAGTTATGTGCAATTATGTCCTATCTAACTGTTTTCTAAGAGAAGTTGAGTCCACTTATGTCCTATCTAACTGTTTTCTAAGAGAAGTTATGTGCACTTATGTCCTATCTAACTGTTATCTAAGAGAAGTTATGTGCACTTATCTGATATCTAACTGTAATCTGAGAGTTTTTGAGTGCATGTAACAGATATCTATGTGTAAATTAAGAGTGAGAGTGCACTTTACTTCCAGAAACTCCTCAAAAAGCACATGTACGGCACGTTTAACCGAGATGATTTATACAGTGCCATACAAGAGGTCAGTAACCGTTGCGACTGTTGTTATTGGTTTGTTGTCCGTTTCAGGTGTGATTGTTGTTGCTCTTGTTGTTCTGGTGTTTCTTGCACCCCACCCACACCCTTCTCTTGTTAAGGATACTGTCAGCTCGAAAGTCTTGTGCTCAAATCCTGATCGCGTTGGATTTACATTTTTAAGAATGACCTTTGCTGCCGGGTCGACTCAGTCTAAACTGAGTACTTGGTCAATTCCAGGAAAGTAATCGCGGTCAGCGTGATGTTTAGCAAATCAGCCACTGAGGTGAGTAAACATCAAAATACGTTCAGGATCATAGAGCTGAGAGGCCTTTTGCGCTAAAACTGTGTTTTCGTACTTTATGTGTGAATCACACTGGCTGTTGTTACCGAACAGAGTTACTAGTTAGATTCTGGTTGTTGTAACTGCTCTAAATCACGGGCTGTTGTTCATAAGAAACACTCGAAATTGGTCGGTTTTTGTTACATGCTTACAGAGAATCCATCCATCCACCACCCCGCCCCTCTTCCTCCCCCCCCCCCCCCCCCCACGTTCCCCCCCTATAATTATGGTACTAGGACCCAAACATTTTTTAGGAAGGAAGAATTATGTATGATTTAATGGTTTGAAGTCAGACCGATGATTCCATTTAGATACATTCCAGATAGCTCAGTCTGTCTCCGAAGAAAGCTTGCCTTCTACCGATAGTACACACGAAGCGAAGACACAAAAGTTCCAGAGATAGTTCTCATGGATCAACGTAGAAATTAAAAGAGGCGGTTAGGGAAAAGAACCTGTGATCCTTGAGGCGGGAGAGCTTGCGAGACCGAGTTTCTTTCAAGGAGGATCTGATCAGAGCCATCTTCTGTAAAGAACCTGCTACATGATAATGAAGATGAGGATGATAATTTATAAATCTATGTGTTTGTGTGGTGTGAGCGCCAGATAGATAGAGAGGGGGCGAGCAAGAGTGAGAGAGGCAGACCCTTGTTTGATCCTCAGTAAGATTATAGAGTTCTGTTTGTTTTCTCTGTCGAGGCTCCCCAAAAACATTCTAGCCTGCACAGTTCGTGGCGACACCTCAAACCGTGGTCCTAAATCAAAACGATGAAGAAAACTCCCCCCCCCCCCCCCCACCCCATAGCCTCCCTATCCTAGCACGCCTTAAAAAGTGGTACATCTGAGCAGTAATGATAGGTATTAAAATACATAGAAAGGCACAGACATGTCACTGACATAGAAAGGAAGCACACAAACAATTCCAGGTTACAAACTAACGATAAGATGTTGCTCTCTAGCAAGCCACATCTGATGGTCTCAACATCAACGTGAAGGAGTTCATGGACACCTGGGTCATCCAAAGGAACTTCCCAGTCGTCACAGTGTCACATGACTTGTACAACAGCAGCATTCTACACCTCACACAAGAACGATTCCTCAAGTTTCCTAAAACAAAACACCAAGACAGAAGCCAATCGCCTTTCAAGTAAGTGACACATCAAACATTTTCATGAGCTTTTTCAGCCGGTACAATTTATTCACAACAAATATTATTTGTCCATGTGTGTCTGTTCCTATTTTTGTCTTTCACTCACTCGCAAGAGGTTTGTTGAGTTGACCGACATCAAGGTACTCAGCCCCAAGGGTTTTGTTGAGTTGACCGACATCAAGGTACTCAGCCCCAAGAGTTTTGTTAGGTTGAACGTCATGAAGGCACTCAATGTTGTTTCAGTTTTACCGTTTGCCACCAAAAGTTGGTGAACCTCTAAAGACATAGAACGAAACTTAAATGCATTTAAAAACAAATGTTTCAAGAAATGGATGAACACAAAATGGTATGAATTGAAAAGGGATGAAGAAATAAGAGAAGTGTCAGGTCGATCACTTGTTATCAACAGTGTTAGAAGAAAGAAGATGCCGCTATATTGGACACATCTAGAAAAGAAAATAGCAGAGAATCACATCAAACAGGCATTGAAGCGGGAAATAAAAGGATTAGGGAGGCGCTGACGCCCATCTTCAGCCGGCAGTCATAAGTTGCAACTCTGCTGGTACCAGTAGCAGTCTGAATGAAGATCCGACTTGATTTCCTCTGAATGTGTGGGTCGTCGGTCACATCCCCTGGTCATCCCGTTTTTCTCAAGGTTTTTCAGTCGAGAGAGTTAAGCTGAGTTAGCAGCCAAGATTAAAGCACTCGGGACATGCCCATAAGTAATCTGTCTCCATCTCGCAGCCAATGATCAGTTCCAGTTCCGATGGAACGCAGTAGCAGTTTTATTATATGTTCTTTTGCCTTGTGCATTCAGTGACGAGTGTAGGTCTGATGTCCTCGCCACTTCCTGCTAAACAATGTTCCCAGACCACAATGATCTATTCGCCCTTTCGAAGGTTCACTTGCTCGAAAAAGGCAACATCTAGTTTCTCATACATCAGTTTACCAGTAACTGGTGTAACACTCTAGAATATGTCTGCCTGTCGTTTCCCAAAAACATCTGCCTATGCCTGAGACAATATCTAAAGGTAGCCAACTACAGCGAACCTCTGCAGCGATGCTTGACACTCTGCACGGAGAATGATTTCTTCCCACCCATTCCAACGACTGTCCCAGAAGAGGTCTGCTCCTGTACCTCAATCCTTTTCTGTTGTGTGTGTGTGTGTGTGTGTGTGTGTGAGAGAGCGTGTGTGTGTGTGCGTGTGTGTGTGTGTGTGTGTGTGTGTGTGTGTGTGTGTGAATAGCACACAACACAGCAGTCACCAGCTTCCGTGTGTGCTCGTATTATACAGTTTTTCATAGCCCTAACTCTTGTTCTATTTCTCTGTTGTCCTCCACAATAGACATGTAGTGATCAGATTTCATGGAAAGATAAAAAGAAAAAAAAAAGATAGACAACATAAACATTGAAAGCTTTAGGTATGATATCAGTAACCAAACCTGTCACTACAAATAAAAAACATTCCTCGCTACAGGAACAAGTGAACAAGACGCATGACCAACTATGGACCCCTAATAAAACGTATTTACCATCCAGTTCATTATTATTATTATGCCTTTTACCAGAGGCTTTTGCCTCTACTCCGCAGCAGAAAATATGTAAGGCGGCTACACATACCCATCACCCTCCCCGGCCCACCACCACCCCCCCCCCCAACTGCACCTTTTCCCCTCCACCCCCGCTAGCTGTAACTGAATAACTTGTTCTCGAGTAACGGGTAATTGTTCCAATATCCTTATATCATAAATTTTTGTTGAGAAGTGAGTTGATTGTTACAGTATTCCTATATCATTCTTTGTGGCCGAGTAGTGAGTTTATTGTTCCTATATCCTTTTATGATACGTTTTCGTCCAGTAGCGAGGTAATTGCTCTCGTATCATTATATCATACTTGTACGTCGAGTAGTGGGTTAATATTCAAGTATCCATATATCATTGGTTGTTCTCGAGTAATGGTTGATTGTTCCAGTATCGTTGTGTATTACTGTAATAGGGTGGAAGCGACGAAGGCTACAGTACAGCAAATTAAAGATCTTAAGATTTATTCGGGTTTGAAAATGGCTAACAGGCCAAAGGAGAAATATTGGCAGTTATTAGTGTTAGACGATAACACGGGAAAAATCAGGCCACTGGGGTATTTAAACCGCCGACTGACAAAGTTTCAGCCTATTTGACTTCCAGACCAACATGTGGGAGCCTAACCTAGCTACTGATGCTTTGCACAATGGGCCGGTCAGCAGGTATGGCGACACAGGTAACGTTCGTGGTCTGACTGATTGCAGGCGATGGTACGTTCAGTTGGTTAAAATAGATTTTCATTTGTATTCTTGCTAAGAGATAGTTGGATGGTATATCGCTATATATTTGAGATTTTGTTCCAGCACGTTGTTGTCGTTAATGTCGTTATTTGTTGACCACGCTGATGTGATATTAAATAAAAATGTTGTTCAACGTTGTATTCATAGTTACAGTTGTTTCCTTCAGCTTAGGACTTGTAGTTAGTGTCCTTAGTTTATTTCATTTGTTATTTGGCTATCTAGACTTTACACAGAAGATTTCTTGCCTGGGTGAGATATTTTGATCTCTCCCCCACCAAAACGAACTCTCACTCTTTTTCTTTCTCTTTTTTCTTGTTACTAAGGGTTTCTCTCCGGTCTAGTACATTGCTTTGTTGTTGTTGTTGTTGAGTAGTGTGTTAACGTTCAAGTATCATTATTACGTACATTTTTGTTCGCTTAGTGTGTTGATTGTCGTCTCTGTGGCTATGTCGATGCGAACGCTTCGTAATGCCGGGATGCCGGTTACGATCCCAGCGGCAGGCCATGCGCCTTGCGTTGGTTTCGACAGTGGTATCAAGAAAGCCGACCCGGCAGAAAGCAATAGCAAAGCTACTGGACATAAATTTGCCTAAAACAACCACACAACAGCCAGGGGCTGTTAGGGTTGGTTCTGCAACGTCCTGTAAAGGATACGCAACTAACCTATATATAGTGTGTGTTTTTTTTTAGTGTCATTACTTAAAAAAGAAATTAGGCTATTTTTAAACACATCTGTGGGAACCAGCTTGGCCTAGCAACTGAATGCTCGTCTGCAGCGATTACAGTCTTGGCTTCACTTGCGCCTTTAGTCGATTGGTTTCTAAAAAAATGTATTTAGCTCCACTATCGACCCAGAGTAAAATGAGTACCAGATAAAGTCCTAGAAAATAAAGGCTGCCGGCATGACTTTGACCACATGACGGCTGATCTATGAAACAGGAGTCTAGCACCAGACACTCGCAACATTGAAGCAGTCTGCTTTGCCTTGATTTCGACATCCGTATCGAGAGGCCATCCCTCAGACAACAATGGAAAACTACTGAATGTAAAACAATACCAGCTGAAGTTGGTTCTACAACGTCATGTGAAGGATTCACAACTAAATCACTTCACTATATAGCTAACACGGTCGTTTACTTTACTTTGCCTCTACTCACGCATGTCTAAAATATGAAAAGTTGTATTTGTGTGTAATGTACCGTATTTAAATATGATGATGTGATGTTTAGTTTTCGAATAACTGAATTCTCCTGGAAAGATAATGACATGGTCCTATTTGCAGCTATCAATGGACGATTCCCCTGACACTGGCTTCCAGCAACCACGCAATATTTAATCAGACGAGCGGTCACCATGTCTACTGGATGGACAAGGAGGAACAAACAAGTAAGTAAACAGAAGGGAGAGTCAAATTAAAGTACAACATCACAGATAGTGAATACATCCCCATAGTTGTTGTTTCTTGAAAAAAATCTGATTTTAAATATTTAGGCTCTTTAGTGAACACCTTTAGCGACTGCGACAAAAAAAGTCAGAGTAAAACTCGCTTTAGCGATACAGAGACAAAACAGCAGCAAGAGCCGGTGGTACAAGCACCTGTTAGCAAGCTGAAGTAAACATTTTGAGATCGTGGATCTTTCCCGTGCCAACGTATGGATGTTGGTCAAGGACTACTACTCAAACGTGGCATCAAGATAATCTATTCAAACGAACAATGGGAGGTTTTGATCTGAGCTTTTTCTTAGAAATTCCGTGAAAATTAAGGAGTCCATGCTAAAATGGAGTCACCATTACAGACAATGGAAGATATGTTCTAAATAAGGGCACCTGAAAGACAAAAGAGATGGAAGACACGTGTCGACATTAGGGCTAAACAAGTCGACCAGGGGTAGGGACAGAGGCCGGCGAAATCATTTGGTGTACTTCGAAATTAGATAAATATAGGTGTTAATTTCTTAAATTGCAATACAAGATTATTGTGAGTGAGTAACTAACAAAGAAGCATTTCCGACTATCAAATTACGTGAGTGCTGATTATATTGACAAAATACAGCCGGTTAAACTGTGAGCTGATTATGCTGCATGTCCCGGAATGAGTATGTAAATATCCGAATTTATCTTGACATACAGAATTACTTAACTTCCTACCAATATTCAGGTTTGGGACTTTTCTCATTGATAGTAGAGTGCGTAAGTTTTCTATCTCCTGTACACCTTCCGTCTTGTCGGATAATTACAACTATAACAAGATAATGTATCCACGTTTATAAGAAAGTGCCGCTTTAACTCAGAATTCCTCATATGGACACCGGAGGGGAAAAGCAAACGGGAAAGACCAAGACAGAATCTACGAAGAAACATCATCAGGGAAGGCTCAACCATAGGCCCTAACAAACATCCAAGACTCAAAACAGGTGGCAACAAAGAGTCAGACACCGAGAGCTATGACCTCTGCCCTATGCACCACCTTAGGCTCAAGAAGTAAGACTTACTAAGTCTTTTTCCTTTCATACATTGATTTTCACAGTCAATTATTTTGTCAAACTGACCACTTCCATTTGTTAGATATGTTGTCCATTCTGTGTGTATGTACTTCAACAGAAACGCTCCATGTGAGCATCCCATTACCCGACTATTCAGATTCCAATGGCTGGGTCCTGGTGAATCTCCACCAGTATGGCTACTATCGAGTCAACTACCAAGCCAGTAACTGGCTGGCCCTGAGTCAACAGTTGAAGAGAGACCATTCAGTAAGTATAATACAGATTTACATGAAGGGACCCAGTGAAGTAATTTTAAAATGAGCTCTTCTAGATGCATTGCAGACCTCGATTTTTACTGGCTCTACTAATGCAGTATAGTTTTATCTAATAGTGTAAATCTGAACAATTTCCCTTTTAGTTCTTATGTGTGTAAATACTTATATACGCGGTCTATTGTCGAGCTTTTTTCTTTAACTTTTAGGATAAGTACTCAGGCGACGGCCAGAACATACAGAAAATAAAGGCACGGTCTGAGTGAAAAAGACTATGGTCAGCATATTTCAAAGACACCAACTGCCTATCTGAATGTTATTAATGCTCGTATCTTTGGCCCGAGGTGGTCACATTACGTCAAGATGACGTCATCAGCCGCAATCCCCAGATTGAATACGACCTTGGTCGAAGCCGCCCCGACTGTGTTCAAGTGAAGGTCGTAAGAGGTAGAAGAAGATATATATATATATCTATAGATTTGCATTTGGTCTATACACAGCACTGGTCAAGCGTCACATGCTCCAATACTTGCAAGGCGATGAAATACATTTACCTTCATAAAACCTGACAGGCTAAAGATGTCATGCATTTTGCAAGAGTGCGACAAATAATAATAAAAATAATTTTAATTACTGATAAGGAGGACAGAGAAAGAAAAAGAAGAAGAAGAAGAGGGAGAAGAAGAAGAAGAAGAAGAAGAAGAAGAAGAAGAAGAAGAAGAAGAAGAAGAAGAAGAAGAAGAAAAAGAAGAAGAAAAAGAAGAAGAAGAAGAAGAAGAAGAAGAAGAAGAAGAAGAAGAAGAAGAGAGAAGAAGAAGAAGAAGAAGAAGAAGAAGAAGAAGAAGAAGAAGAAGAAGAAGAAGAAGAAGAAGAAGAAGAAGAGAAGAAGAAGAAGAAGAAGAAGAAGAAGAAAGAAGAAGAAGAAGAAGAAGAAGAAGAAGAAGAAGAAGGAGAAAAAGAAGAAGAAGAAGAAGAAGAAGAAGAAGAAGAAGAAGAAGAAGAAGAAGAAGAAGAAGAAGAAGAAGAAGAAGAAGAAGAAGAAGAAGAAGAAGAAGAAGAAGAAGAAGAAGAAGAAGAAGGAAGAAGAAGAAGCAGCAGAAGCAGAAGCAGAAGTAGAAGCAGAAATAGCAGAAGTAGCAGAAGCAGAAGTAGAAGTTAAAGTAGAAGTAAAGTACAAGTACAAGAAGAAGGAGTAGAAATAGAAGTAGAAGAAGAAGAAGAAGAAGAAGAAGAAGAAGAAGAAGAAGAAGAAGAAGAAGAAGAGAAGAAGAAGAAGAAGAAGAAGAAGAAGAAGAAGAAGAAGAAGAAGAAGAAGAAGAAGAAGAAGAAGAACAAGTAGAAGAAGAACAAGTAGAAGAAGAGGTAGAAGAAGTAGAAGAAGAAGTAGAAGAAGAAGTAGAAGTAGTAGTAGATGTAGTAGTAGAAGTAGTAGTAGAAGTAGTAGTAGAAGTAGTAGTAGTAGAAGTAGTAGTAGTAGAAGTAGTAAAAGACAAGAAAAAAGAAGCAGAACAAGAAGAAGTAGAAGACGAAAAAAAAGATGATAATTGTGATGATAATGATAATGATGATAGTGATAATGAAGAAGGAGTAGAGGGAAGTGATGAGTACCCTGTCCAAACAAAGCTACCCTACTTCTTTCCCGAGTCATAAAAGAAACATTTCAGTTATACAGTATATATATATACTTTTTTTTTTTTTGAGGAGCGTTGCATGACAACGATCATTTACTATTCTCTCATAGGTGATTCCTGTAATTAACAGAGCACAAATAATAGATGATGTGTGGAGTCTAGCTAAGTAAGTCTTTTTTTTTTTTTCCCACTTCCCTTTTAGTTGTCAAAATTAGGATCGTGCATTGCGACCACTATAGTTTTTCGAACAAGTGTGAAATTGTAAGGTCATTAATTCAAGAATGAAGATAGAACCCAAGACTGTCGCATCTGGTCTTAGAGACCACCAGGCACTAATTAGGCCAAGGTCTTAAAACCGCCTGACGGTTGAGGTGATGATGTTGGGAAGTGACACATTACTGGTGTTTTACACCTGGCTTCCAACTTGCTTTGACTTCTGTTGATTGCTGCGCTTGACAGACCGGAATGAGGGACGTACTAGCTTGTTCTAGCTTCGCTTCCATTGGCATTTCAAGTGGGGATTCGAGTATGGGTTCTGTGGGTCTTTGAGGGGCGAAAATGGGGTCAGAACAGTCTCACTACATTTTACCAAACATTCAGTAAAAAGCTACCAATTCAGCGTTTGCTATACTGGACATGGCACGCTGAAATACGCAGATATCACAGCCTAGCTATAAACCAACATCCCAAGAAATCAGCAAGGAAAACAAATGGTCACAGCGACATGATTTGTTTATATGTATGTCGGCTAATCGTGTGCATTGTGAACTTAAACAGCTTCATCATCGCTAGTCACCTTCCCATTTTCAACATCCTATGCAGATGTTCAGAGCCAAGCACAGCACGCAACATGAGATTTGTGGCTGTTCATTGTTCATTGCTATTTTAAAGTTCATCTTCACCGCACATTGCACTTGACCACAAGTGCTGAATATCCTCCTGAGTCTCCAGGTGTTTTTAGTCCAACAACTCCCAGTCTATTCTGGTTAATGTAACAGTGAGTGACCCTCACATGTTATCTTTACCTGGCTGCTCTATTTCATACACCCAATGTTTGCAGTCCATTCAGTGAGAATCTTTTTGATGGTTATTCCACTGGAAACAACACAGGTTGGATAATGCAGAAACACATACGCAGCATTTTTTTTTTCTAAGATAGGGTGCATCTGCCTAAGAGCCGCGGAACTAACAGTCTGCATACATATAAACCGGATCTGTAAAATTGATGTGCAAGAAAACTCAAGTTCTGGAACATGACTAGTCTAAGAGTGGACGAACAACCAGAACGGAGTTTACAGTCAGTGAACATGATGAAGAAGAAGAAAAAGAAGAAGAAGAAGAAGAAGAAGAAGAAGAAGAAGAAGAAGAAGAAAAAGAAGAAGAAGAAGAAGAAGAAGAAGAAGAAGAAGAAGAAGAAGAAGAAGAAGAAGAAGAAGAAGAAGAAGAAGAAGAAGAAGAAGAAGAAGAAGAAGAAGAAGAAGAAGAAGAAGAAGAAGAAGAAGAAGAAGAAGAAGAAGAAGAAGAAGAAGAAGAAGAAGAAGAAGAAGAAGAAGAAGAAGAAGAAGAAAAAGAAGAAGAAGAAGAAGAAGAAGAAGAAGAAGAAGAAGAAGAAGAAGAAGAAGAAGAAGAGGAAGAGGAAGAAGAATAAGAAGAGGAAGAAGAAGAAGAAGAAGAAGAAGAAGAAGAAGAAGAAGAAGAGGAAGACGAAAAAGAAGAAGAAGAAGAAGAAGAAGAAGAAGAAGAAGAAGAAGAAGAAGAAGAATATACTGAACCAGATCGTCACGCTTCTCTCTATACTACACTGATCCCGTCCAGCTTTATATACACCGAAGTAAATCAAAAGGCTATCCTAATATAGTTGAAGCATAAACTGAACAGTCGAGGAAATGAACTCGTACAAAAAAAAAAAAAAAAAAACTATACTAAAAAGTGACTAAATTATCGGACCACAGATACATCAGTGCATTATTCTCAAGCGTTGGTCCCACATTTTGTGAACTGTCAGCATTTAAGTATTTCAACAGTTCACTCTCCATATATTTGTTTTGCAGCTCTAATTATACCACAATGAATGTTGCCCTGGCAACACTAGAATACTTACACAACGAACTTGAGTATCTCCCTTGGCACTCAGCTATTCCTGAGATAAATGCTATAGCTACAAAACTGGAGTCAACACCCCTCGATGAACCTTTCAAGGCGAGTGGTTTATCACATCTACCGCAAGAGGCTCATGCTAATTTTACTAAGTCAAATGTTTCTTCTCCTACTTCTTCCTACTTCGTCCTTCATCCTCCTTCTTCCTCCTGTGGCCAAACAATGATAGGCTCTTAAAAGGTCATCAAAACATGTATCATCTACTCGGCCAGCTACCTGAGCTGTCAGTTACGCTTAACAATCAGTTCATTATTTTTGGAATTACCCAAAGTCGGCTAAACAATAGAATTACTAATGATGAAATTAAAATTAGTGGGGTTCAGTGTTATTCGCAAAGACGCAGAAAGAAAATTAGAAACAGGTTCAACTGTGTACGTCTCAAATTTCCTAAATTATTCCTTTAGAAATGATCTAGAATCCTTAGAGGTAGTGTGTCTGGCTGGAAGTCAAGCCGTCAAACCAGAGATCACTTTTTATTGGTTACCTATATCGAAATCCTTGTGTAGTTAACAATTGGTATAATGACTTCACTTGTGTGTTGTATGTAGGTTTTAGTATAGAACATAACATTATTATTCTAGAAGGTCTCAACATAGACGCCAAGAAAGCAAACCAGACACAGGGAGAGATCAACCTATCTTTTAACTTCAAACAACTAATTTAGCTTTTCACGAGAGTGACAGAAACAGCTTCAACTATACTCGATCATATTTATGTATCTTGACTAGCAAATTTTATTGAATGTACTGTCCCTTCTATCCCATGTGCATTGCCTGGTCAAAGAATGGATTAGGAGCTCTTAAAAATAGGCAAATTGTAAGTTTTAAAACTTTGAATTTGGATTAATTTTTACACGATTTGCGCAAAATAGAGCTTGATTGTATTTATCAACTTCCTGAACCTAACGACGCTATGGACTATTGAACTAAAACAGTCTACATTGTTTTTGATAAACATGAACCAGTTAAATAAGTTAGAGTAACAAAACTAACTAAATTACCATGCAGCTCTAGACATTATTAAAGAACGGGATGCGGCATACAAAAATTTTAAAAAATTTTACTGTCTATGGCAAATTAAGAAATCAAGTGCAAAAAGAAGTTCGTGAAATGAGGAAAGATTCCTATAATAAATTGATAAAAGATAAAACAAACAGTGCCGATATATGGAAGGCTTTAACACTGTAATCAACAAGACAAGTTCTTCAGATCAGGCAATATCTAACTCTCTAGCTTGTGAAGAGTTCACTCCTTTTTCAAATCAGAAATTGAAAATTGAAAGTCCTCAATGCCAGACTCACAGTGTGACTTAAGCTTGCCAGCAACATTCTATGAGGAAAAATATACCCTGACTATTCTTTCTGAGATTCCTCATTTGTCTTTTGTGGAAATATATAAATATCTCTCCAATCTCAAGAAGAAGAAAAAAACTGTAGCTGGAATCATTAATGGAATTCTTCGATGTGCTGCACCAGTCATTAGGGACCCATTTACATTCATATCTAATCAGTACCTTGCTAAGAACGACTTTCTATCAGCATTTGAAATTGCTAAAGTTTTCCCTCTGCTCAAACCGGGCTCAGATGACAACAGTTCTTTTGGCACTTATAGACCCATTTCTCTATTGTCATCGCTTTCTGATCATTATAAAAACACATACATTAAATTTTTTTTTAAAAATAACGTTTCAGCACTTAAATAACAGCAATCTGATAGTTGATAGCCTGTCTAGGTTCAGACCTAAACACTCTTATACTGCATTGACAAAAAGGACAGATAACGACCACTCTAACATCAACAAAGGCAACATTTGCGGTGCAGTTTTTGTGTTCTTTGAGAAAGTTTGATTTTAGTAGATCATGATATTCTAATAAATAAATTGAAAACTCTGAAAACTAACTATAATTTAGCCAAATTAAATCTGTTATCTTTTTTCTTATAGCAAATAGTATTCTTAAATATTTATCTGTCACAATCCACTCTGTTAAATATAGGCGTGCCCCGGGGTCGATTCTAAGTAAGCTACTTTTTGCCACACATATTAACGACCTTCCATTACATCTCAGAATAACAAGCCATCTATTAGCTGTGGACTATACAATAAATACTAGTCATAGGAATCGCAATGAGTTTTGAAGTTCTTTTACAGAAAGAAGTAGATTGTCTTTCTAAATTGGGCAACAGCAATCGCATAGAAAATAGCATAAATAAAGCTACATCTTTGCTTATAACAATCATACAAAAGAAAATTAGTATTGCACAAGCCGAAACGTGAGCTCTACATTGATAAATTATCATTGTAACAAATATTTAAAAAAAAAAACAAAAAAACAATGCCTTACAATTGACATTCATTTAAGTTGGAATTCACATGTTAGTTTCAAAACTAAGAAAATAGCACAGTCTATCTGCTTACCAAAATTCAGCACTTTCTGTATGAAGGAACACAACATTTTTTTTTACGCGTCCTACATCCAAACACATGTCGACTATAGGTCCTCTATTTGGGATGGTTGCGCCAAATCTATTGTTAAAAGAATAAGTTCCCTTGGAAAGCATTTATGCCTCTTGGTCCTGGGTATTTATCATCCTTTGGATATTTTCTCCAGGGGTTGCCGGTGTGTTTAGAAACGAGAACGCAGACATACTTGCCGGCTCGGCCCCACTTGGTGGTGAACTTATGTATGGCAAGCTAGCCATTGTGAGGCCCCTTTAAGAGCGAGGGAACAGTGCAAAGCCACAAATAGATCATTGCGGTCTGAGGAGAATGGCTCTGTGATGGGCTACCACGGGATCAACACTCAAGAGAAAAGCGAGACGTACATACGATCAGACAGTTACTGGTGCCATCGGCACTGGACGTTTTAGCTTGATAAAGTTGGGGACGGAGCACTTAAGTGAGTGTCTAGGATGCTATGATGTCGATTTCTATTTCAACAATCAACATTCTAAACATCAAGGAGAACTCTCAAATTAACAGCTCTTTTTTTAAGCGTGTGTCAAGCATGAT